CCCCCCCCCCCCCCCCCCTACTGATGGAAAACAAACCTTCTGTTGACTGGCTCCGTCTGTGCCGGCCGGGTGTCAGACAGTGTAAAGCTTCATTTGGAAGTCAGAACAAAGACTTTCTGCTTCGGTCGCCGGACTGTGAGCTCTCTGTTGGACCCAAATCACACAGATGAAGAGTGACGCTGCTGACGCCACAAATATATGATATCCACACAGTGCACCCCCCCATCCCCCCATCCCCCGAAACACACCACAAACAAACCCGCAGCACCGGTGGAACTTTATTGACTCACTTAGGATTGTGAATATTGTGAATAACCACAAAGGTCACACATAAAATGGAGCAGCTGGTGTTGGATTGATGTAAATATGTTGTTAATGTGTCAACGGTTGTACACTGCATGAAGGCATTGTATGAATATGTATATTTAATACTATTTATAGCACCACTGTGTGCTATTTGATGATTTAATCTTATTTCTAATGAAACAATCAAGCAAATAGAGATGAATTATTTTCACCAGTTTATAACGCTCAATATATGTTCTCACAGAAGGTTGTGTCCATATTATATATATATATTAAATAAATATGTATCTACTATGTTCACTGACAGCAACATTAGAGAAGCTTTTTCATTTTAGCTCCAGAAAAGCGCCGTCAAAGCCTCATGGGAGTTGTAGTTCAATGGTGACAAAACACTCAAGGGATTTGCACGAAACCATGAACTCTTCACTCTGCAGTCTTCTATAGAGTGTGTTGTCAGAATGTACACTGAGATCTACGAGTGAGCAATCTTTGGTTACTCAAAGCTAACTCCCATCATGCATTGTGCAGACAGGGATCGTTCTAGAATGAATCTTCTGGTGCTGTTGGAAACATGGTCTTGGATCATCAGACCCTCCAGCCCTGAGAACCCAGACCGGGATGATCAGCCCAGTCCTGGTGGCGCCCTGCTGCTCCTCAGATCCCTTTCTCTCTCAGCCCACTCGCCAGGGACAGATGTTGGCATGTTTACGTTTCTGCAAACAACTCATCCACCTGATAGTCGTCTTTTTGGATATTATAAAGTAGGTCACTTGCTCTGACTGTTGCTTCGTCATGTTGATGCATTTCATTTGCGTGTCCATCAAGAACACAGCTCCTAATTGACTTTCCATTGCCATTATTTTCGAGAAAAAAAACAAAAACAGGCAATTTGTGTCCATGAACACAAACCAATAGATTACATTTTGTGACTATTTCACAAACTGCCATGACACTGAAGATATGTTACAACGAAAGAAAACAGGAAACAGTAGACACAACATTTGGTTTAATTGTCGAGAGAAAACAAACGTGTCATGTTCTCACTGTTAGAAAGACAAACGACAGAAACCCTTGGAGAGAAACGATCTCAGAGCTTCAGCTGTTTATGATGCCTTTGACTTCATGTGGAGCCGCTGTGTGACACGTCTTTAAAATACAGTAAATAAATAGCCACTTGTCATGTTGTGAATAGTGGGTTTTCTTATTGATGTTTCATGTTCTTGTGAGGGGATGAGGGCAGTCAGAGGGTGGAACAGGAAGTGTCCTGTATTCTATGGGAGAAAGATGCATTCATGAAACATGCAAAAGATGGTCATGCACGTCCTGCTGCAGACGAACAAGAGTCTGACTGTTGATACTCACTCTGACATGTATTTAACTATTTACCAGAATTCACACTTGATCTCTTTGAATAAAGCTGCAGACGGTTATATTTATTGCACACACATCGTGACTGTCTTCAAATACAAGTTGGAGGTCCAGTGTTTGGTGAGATTAAATAACAGCAGGAACACGCAATTCAATCATGTTCGTCAACACATTTATCGATCCGGGCTCACTGACATCAGATGGCTGAATTCATCAAAGTCATCAGAGGAGACGCAAATAATCCATCATGGTTTCAGTTATCTGTTTCCTACGATGCCGAGCTATCTTCAGCATCTCTTTCAATCACAGAGCGTCCAACACTGAGGGGATTATCGCAGAGCAACGTCTCTGCTTAGGATAAACTATAAGAAATATATCCACAAATAAACGTACAAACCTGACATCTATCGCTTCTTAAAGGGCCAGTGTGTATCATGTCAGGGGATCTATATGTTTTTTCGTTGGTGTATAATCACCTTTCACTAAGAATCGGAGCAGGAGGCGGAGTCCGACATTGTTGCACCGTCAAGTTTCTACATCAGCCCAGAACAGACAAACAACCTCTGTAGCTCTCAGAGTGGTTACTGTGGTCAGGACGACCCCTGAGAGGGGCGTCGCCACAGTTTGGGAAAAGATGAAGAGTGGGTGGAGTTCAGTTGATTGCAATCTGCAACCACAACCAAATTCTACACACTGTCCCTTTAAGCATGGACACATTTAACTAATGATATACTAACAATCTTGAGTGAAATAGCTTGAACATTATAGGGAGTGAAAAAAACCAGGAGGTAGTTAGCTTAGCTTAGCATAAACACTGGAAACGGGGGGAAACAGCTAGCCTTGTTCCCTTCAGGAAGAGCAACAGAAGAGGAGTCTCTCTAGACAGACAGACGAGCAAGATGTTGTGTAGATCCAGAAGTAAGACGAGTAGAATCACATGATGGGGACACAGAGGTACAGTATTAGGTAAATAAGACATTAAGTATAATAAAAAGTACATTGAATTAATACAGTGTTAAACAAGTATCAGGCAGTTTACTAGCATTTTACAACAGTATCAGCTGCTGCTAGACCTTGTGAAATCTTACCACATGCATCCCTCTGATCATACAAACACAAACAGATCTCGACCGCCTCATACTCATATTTCACGTGTCTTTATTGAACTGACTCGAGCTGCTAACCGCTGCGGTCGAGAGGCTGGTCTGTGATTTATAAGCGATGCGACTGCTGTGGCCTGATAACCTCCGAGTCTCTGAGGAGGTGATTGAAGGCCACATCAGCAGGCCCTGCGATGAGGATTCTCACTTTGAACATGATGGACGGAGCAGTAAAAGTTCTGCAAAACTATACTGCTGCAGGCCAGATAAGACACGTTCAAGAAGGTAAATGGAATATGCAACAATATGCTTTCTCTTTTTTCACCTTTTTTCCGTCCAGCTGCTTCTGTGATAATGTTCCGGCTCTGACGTTTATTTATTGTACAGAAAGCAGCAGCAGCAGGACTCATACATCATGTTGGGTCTGCAGGGTGAAGAGAGGACACGCAGCGCTTCACTTCCAGCCTGCTTTAGATTAGATTACACAAGCAGCTCCTCGTGAGGCCAAACGCTCCTACTGTTGGGCGGATGTGTGTGATTCATGGTGGACAGCAGGATTCTCATGTGAGGACGATGAGGGAATGAGACGCAGCTACAAACTATGATGTCTTATTAAAAATGATTGAAGTTACGACTACTCATTGGATTATTTTCATTATTTACATCTGGTATGTGAGATTTGTCACAAAGCCTTCCTGGAGGGTTTTAGGGGTTTGCTAAAGCTAACCACTTTCTGGTTGACTTTAGGGGCTTTTGGAGCCGGTGCTGTCGGCAACACTGAGCCATGTTTAAATCCAAATCTAGTGTCCTCTTCCTGGTTTCTCCAATGTCACCAATCTATGTTTTAATTAATGTATTTACTAAGTTATGAATTTGATTTTTTAATAATTATTTTATATCACAGTTTTATCCTATTACTTCTCTATGATAACATAACAATTAAAACATGTTTTGCATTCACCTCCAAGCTGGAGCGGAAATATATATATAGACATACATATAAATATATATATATATATTTTGGACATTAAAAAAAGAAACATGGAGTGAGGATTATGATGGATTTGTTACAGGACCAGTGCTGGTTGTCCTCCATCACCCTGCAGCCATCTCTCTCTCTCTCTCGCTCTCTCTCTCTCTCTCTCTCTCTCTCTCGCTCTCTGTTCATGATGACAGTCGAGGTGTGAGAGCTAATTGGTGCTAGGAGCCAGCGCCTGCTTCCTGCTGATAGCGCATGTATCCAAGACACCGAGCGGTTTGTCCAATTAGTTATGGTGACACACAAATATTGCGTGTGATGGAGCTCAGGAGAGAACCGCAGTGACACGAGAGGAAGCTGCTGTGAGAAGCAGCCTCTGGTATCTTTAACTGCTGCTCAGCTTCTCTCAACAGACGACGTAATGTCGTTAACACACACCACACGGTGCAATAGAAAGGCGGATAATGACTCATTCAAACAGCCTCCCTATTGTTCATTCCAATGCGTGTACACTTTGTCAGTGGTGGAACAAAGTTGCACCTTCTGCTTATTTATATTTATTTATTGCGGTATGGAACTGTAAAGTACGACATATATCAAAGTAGTGGAGTAAAAGTACACAGTACGGTAACTTAAAGCTGCATTAGATTTTTTTTGGGCCACTTGGGGGCTAATTTACAGCGTTCCTGGGAGATCAACACAAGCAGAAGAAGAAAAATCTTCACCAATTTGACGACGCAGCGAAACTGTTTCCAGGGGGACAATTAAAGGGGACGGACACGGCCAGAAGACGCAACGCTTGTTGTTACTCTTTGTGTGTCATGATGGGGTCAGGAAATGAGAAATGAGCTGAAATGTAATTATTTTTGATTCGTTTTAACATTGTGGATCACGTGATTAAGATATTATCACATGCATCGATCATGTAAAATAAGGGCTGATGGAAACACAAGACTTTCACTCAGAAGACCCTTGTTCCTGTTGCTCGTCACAAAGTCCAGTGAGGTTGTTACTTTAACACAAACCCTGATCTTTTTAGATCTAGTTTTAAACTAGACCTAAACCAAACCAATTATTAACATCATTGTGCGTTTACGGGAGGGTAATATGAAACATATTTCTGAAACTTATTTTTGA